CCCCCCCCATTTACCCAACCTCTCTCTAGTGCCAAGCAAGCAAGCCAATATCTAAGCTTTTGAGAGGGGTCAAGGTTGCTCCGCATCGAGGATGTGAACGACACGACGACACACCACTGCCCCTACTCCCCTACTCACACCCAGGTGAGCGGCAGAATTGTCCGTACTCAAAGCCGTTGTCCCTAAAGGGCCTGGTACCTGAGGAGCACTGCGCTGCTGGTCTGCCGAGACGCAAAAGCAGAACTCCGAGCAGCTCGGCCAGCGCACAGAGATGGGAAGGTTGGTGGCTGACCGAATGACCATTGATTAGATGATCAGAATTGATCAAATGTATAATCATGACACCCTCAGAATCATAGAAAAGGCTTACTGTATTCCTCTTCAAGCATGTTGAAATGCATTCGCATTGCTTCTGTTAGCGCAGTCGTGCAATACAGTACTAAAAAGTGGACCATCAAACCTCGCTGGAACCGGTACTTCGATCCCACACCCCCGCATGTACCGAGGGTACCCCTGGTACTCCCTGGGTCAGGCGAGCTGGCCGCATGGTGACTCCCTGGGTCCCTTAGCGTTGGAAAATGAAGGTTCACTTATACCAGCACCCCCATAACAGCTAAGGGGCTATAAATAGACATCCCTTGGAGACTTGGAGGGTCCTGGTAACTTATAACCTCTTGCCACCTGTTGGCACCATCCGAGCAATCTTCACTTGAGATTGCAGACCCTGAACTCTCTGGATCAAGGATCACAACGAAAAGACAGGGTGAAGCACCCCCACGCCCATCCCACCAGTTGAAGGTCCAGTGTGCTTGCCCCCAATGCTCCCGCTCCAACAGCCTGTTGGCGCAGGTGATCTGATCTGATCCACTTTTTCAGACTTTCAGCTCTGGAAAAAAGACAACAGCTGCGGAGGAGGCGCATGCCAGCACCCCTGTAGGGCATCCGAGATCCACGAACTTGTCTTCTCGCAAGAAATAGGCTAAGTCGCACCTCAGGGGCTGGCTGTCGCGACATGCAGCTGAGACCTGCAACAAGCTAGCAGCTAAAATGAAGGCTAGCTTCCGGCAAGTAACGTAGACCTGCAGGTAAACCAAGATATATCTTCCAAATCCTCCTGAAGGAGGACTATCTATCTGCTTTGATGAGCCAAAATAGCCAAACGCCAAGGTTCATGAACCAGGTGTCTGGGTGTGGGCTCATATGCGCTCGAAACCTTCTCACAGCTTTGGTCGAACATCTTCCTTTCGTCGCTTTTGGCGGCCGGACGTGTCTGAGTGGCATCCCCTAAGGCCCTAAGGGTGACCAGCAAATCAACTTGTCAACACGGTAGGCACTCCTGGATGCTCGGTCAAAGCCCTAGCCTGCTGACAGTCTCAGTACAAACGCTGCCACACTTGGATAATTACCATGCACTTATTGAACGAGTGGTTAACACCTACAGCATCCCAGCGGTTTTAGGCAGTGAACCACTGAAGAACTTCTCGGGCATTCTGAGACCGGTTGACAAGCTGGGGTCATCCGCTGATCGTCCCGTCGACCAAATGCTTCCAAGTGGCAAGACCCAGGCACGATCACAGCCATGCGTCACCAGGATGCCTTGACTTTCCTGAGATCACCGCTCTGCATACCCTCTGCAACGGGGTCTGTGGCCCCCTCTCCCTGGAGGAAGCGTTTCGGGGTGGAAAGTGAACGTGGATGAAACACGGCGAAACAACCATTCAACGAAGGCGATGATTGATCTCAAAAGTGCATCTGATGGGTGATGTTGAAGAGTCATGGGGGATTCTGTGCATGACTGCCAGTCGTTCGGCTCAAACTGCGCGTAGCTTGCATGGCATGGCCCTGCAATCAACTCGACCCTCTTCACAATAAGCTGATTCTGGATGGCATGGGCAAAAGTGTGATGAAAAACGTGTTGGAATAGCCGAATAGCCACGTGATTGTTCACATGAATTGTCTCTATCAAGTGAATTGGATCCAGTTCTTAACAATTATGACACCTGAAAAACCAACGCCTTCCACCCAGTTCCTTTCGCGTTCATTTCTCCAAAAGCCTGGAAGGAACGACCACGAACAACCTGTAGCTTGGAAAAGGGTGTTTGTCCGGCAGCAATCCTTTTCACAATGTTCCGTCAGTTTCTTTGCCGGTTTCTTTGATCTAATTACTTATTACAGTAATAAGACCCATCACTTGCTTAATCCAAATTGGGATTGATGCGTTTGCGCGTGTTTGTTGGTGCTTATTTCCTTGGCATCCTAGTTCATCCATTGAAGAAAAAAACCACCTGCAGCCACACAAGGGCGACGTGAACGTGCGACCACTGCCATGGCTCGGCGGACGCAATTCGGTGGGCCTCAATGCTCTCATCCTTCGTGAGCAGCGCCTGAACTGGGCGCAGGTAAGGACCGCTCGACGATTGACGCCATAATTAAGCCGAATCTGACTTTTGCTACTGACGTATAGGGCTCACTTTCAGTCAAATACAATGCAATCTCCAGGATCGTGCTGGGATACAGGACGGATTGACCAGCTCGTTTCCCCCTTTATGTGCGCAAGCGACGAGAAGCGAGGGGCATCAAAAAGCTGCCCATGGAAGAAGAGCGACACCTTTGGCAAAGGAACTACGATATATAGTGTATGTCCTGGAGTCTCAAAGTACCTCGGAAAATGGGTACAGTCGCAGCTGCCTTTTGTTTGGGTCATGTCATATTTTCCAGGGTACTTCGGAGAGTCGGGTATAATTAACTGTTCTTGATTTTCTGGTTGTTGTCTGCTGTGCAGATCACCTCTGAACAATTTAAGCTGATTTCCAGGACCTTCAAAGTGACCCTTTGATATCCCAGGATGAGGTCACTTAGGTCTGTACAAGGTCACTTAGAGACTCCAAAGAGGTCACGTACTGAAGGTCCTGGTTAGAATATGTTAGAATGACCCTAATCGACGTTCATTCATATTGATCAAAGCTCTGTTCATCGGATAGTCCGAAGAATTCTGCCAGTTCCCCTCAGTTCTCCCCGATCCGCCCGTCCGGATTCAAGCAAATGATGTCCAAGAAGAAGGCCGTGTTGTCGTCCTGGGGCCGATCTGCTGCGATGGTGGCGATGCGTTCTGCGTTTCGCCCCGGGTCACCAGCCCCACGGGTCAAACAAAACACGTTTCTGGTTGGTGGTTTCAACGAACAAAAAAGAGTCAGTGGGTTTTATAAACTAAATTATCTGATTACAGTATCTGATTATCTGAAACGGTTTATTAAACTAAATATCTGAAAGCACCATGTGTTCATGATTGCAATTTGTTGAAGGACTTGTTCGAGCTGTACCACACCTGCAATGAAAATAGAAGTGCGTGTGTCTGCTTGGTCGTGTTGGTTTCATGCGGGCAGTGTCCGAATTGATCGGGTTAGTCTTACGTTGCAAACAAACCGAACCAAACCAGCCAGCCAGCCAGCCAACCATACCAAACAAGCAAACATAACAATTTAAGCAATCAACAAGTCTTGTCGCCGTGGTCGTCACTATGTCTTTGAGCGAAATGCGCATAGACTGTTTGCTCTGGCAAAACAAGAGCAGCCAGCTTTTCCAGTGGCGCATCTATTTGTCTTGAAAAGCTGTTGCCTTGTATGCTCTATTTGGGGTATATCCCATTGCCAGTAGCAGTGGATGAAAGTTTGGATAGTGATAGATACTGATAGTACCTTACCGACTGCTGCTGGTAACAGAACTTATCTTATGCAGCTTGTGTGCTCCGCGATGAATGAAATTTGCTCTGATCACACACTTGACGCGGCCAGTTCAGTGTAAACTTCTTGCACATTTTTGCATGGGTCCAAAACAAGAAGAGACACCTGGAAACCACAAAAACAGAAACAACTTGCTAATAACATGTTTACACAAACAGCCACATCAAGCCACATCCTACGTAAAGGATCTCAGTTGCCACATGGTCTCCAAAAAATCTTAGCCCATCGTCCTCAGTTCATCCTCACGTGTTCACCAAAACCCTTCAAACCGAGCCACAAACTCTCTGGCCTCTGCTTGCCACTCCACGCACTTCACCAGCTCGGCGAATCTCTGGTCCGACGCATAGGCCAGGTAAACCATCTCCACGCGACCGGTCGTCGTCGATTTGCGCGAACGTCGATCGTGCGGGCGCGGTCGGCTCAACGACCGGTCCGAGCCAATGATACACTTGGAGACCAAATGCATAGCCCTATGGATCCACATACCGAACCGGGCTCTCCTGGCGCCTACAATAGTCTCCCTGCTCACCGTACCTCAGGTTCGGTATGTGGATCCATAGGGTAGTATAGTGCCAAGTACATTCCTAAATCGCAAGCTTCTATAGAAGTGCCAGTCCCTGATAGTATACAAATTGGCTGCGGCGCCGCTGGGCGATCTATAACCACTGAGATTTACACGGTTGACATCTATTGACCGATTTCTTGGTTTTGGACCGCCATTTCTGGGTGGAAGACGGCCCAACATTCTCGAGCAAAAAGGACGTGGCCCACATCGTGAGTTTCACTGCGAACAAAAGCGTGGCCCATGGGTGGTGACCCACTAAGGTCACCCCGGTATGCCATGGCAGCTAGGTCAACAGGTTGGTCTCTGTGCGACCCACCATGTATTTTTCCGTTGGGCCACGTGTCGGTTCTGCCTACTTCTCAGTGCCACGTGTCGGTTCTGCCTACTCCGGTAATTCGACCACATGGATGTGACATCTCTTCCGATTTATGTCAGATTATTGGATTGAACAACGCTCATTGAGTGTGACATATTGAAACATCAGGAAGAACACCTCAAAGCTATATATGAACAGAGTGATCAAGAGTGTCAATGTGCAACTTCGGTGAAACTACCTGGCGCCAGGTGGACATGGCAATATCATGGCAATATCCTCATCAAAGAGTGCGGATATTAAGCTTTGAACGAACGAACTGCTCGGCGTTCGACGTGCAAGGAACGTCCCGAACTGCTCCCGTCAAGGCACTGGTGGCACTGGTTGAGTCACCCACCTTTCCACATAGGAGCACTTCTCACCTGCGACTCTTGGTGCCAAACAACAGCCGCCAACAAAGAGAACAGCCGGCCGACCGCCGGCCGGCACCATATAGTTGTCCAGTTGTCCGCCGGAAATTGGGGCGATCGTGTTCAGGTTCTACAAGCCATGTGGGGAGTTCCATCGTCAAAACCAATTGACATGTGCAGTGCGTTGGGTCCTCAGGTGTCGTATTGATGAAAGGCTTTATAAGATATTTGATATTCGTCAGTCCTCACAGAGCGCAAGGCGGAATGCCAAAACTCCCTTACACACATGTGGTTTTGGCGGCACCGACTCTACAGGTCACCACCAACCACTTTTTGCCACCATACAGAGACTTGTTGGAGGGCTGGCAGCGTCTTACCACACCTGAGGTGAGGAAGGACACTCCCCACGAAAAAGGTAGTACAAATTACAGATTGGGAGAATTTCAGCCCGTGAAACAGAACTCTTCCATCACCCGCAGCATGAGAGTGTCGAATTCAGCATGCTTCTTCAACTCTTGTACTGGTTCGACAACGATATCCTAAGTGAATCAACAGTCCTATGGGTTTCACTCAAAGTAACACGGTAGCACATGGGTTTCACTCACAATTGCAATGGTGCCTATATATAGGTTTTCACACGGGTTTCAGATGGTTTCACTCACAGGCTCACACGGAGTTCGCACCCCGTGGGCGTTGGCACCATTCGATCATTGTTTGAGGCATGGCACCATTGATGTTCGGCAAGAGCACATCGTTCCTCGACGAGCGATGAGTTGATTTGGCTCGGCGGGATGGTTCGTGGCTGGCAGGTGTTCCAAAGGGGGAAACAAATACATACATGACACACACTGAGTCACAGAGTGCTTTGTATATAGCCTTAGCCTTAGCGTTCAAACTTGAGGCGGAAGTTAAAGCTATATTGTTTTCCAGCATTGGCGTCTCGTGCGTACATGGCATCCTTTTGCGTGACGACCCAGAAGTTGAAGCCACTGTCATGGCGGCTGGCCCCTGTTTTGGCCCCAAATGAACAACCACTGATCCTGTTTTGGGATCTGGAACTGATGTGGCCGAACTTGGGTGGAGAACTCGACCTGTTCCAAAGAATACATGGATTCTATTGGGTCCTAGGTTTTGGTGAGTAAACCTCCGCAACTCTCTGCAAGTTGATAGCGCCATACTTCATGTTCAAACAGTTGCCAATCAGCAGAATGGCCACCCAGTTCTGTGACTCTGTCCAGCAGGAAAGTTACGTATACTTCGCAGTCCTTCGATCTTCCATCCTAATCGATCCGTCCTTGTACCACGCGGCAGGAGCGCCTCCTTTCGCTCCCTGTTACGATCTGAGAGCCGCACACATAGGTGGCCATCCGTTTCACGGTGAGAGATGGAGATTCCCACTCACTCCTCCAGTCACCTGAGGCCGTGCTCAAGGGCAGTTGTATGAGGGCATGGTGAGGGCATGGCAAGACGCATGGCAGGTATGGCAGGCATGGGCAGGGCATGGGCAGGGCAGTTGTATGACTTGAAGAGGCTCGACTTCTGGATACGATGCAAACGATGCTACAAGAACAGTTCCCGTGATGTGCCTCATCAATGGTGTCTCGGAAAGGGGGAGGTTCTCTCACTTTGCAGCCGAAATGTTGCTGAAAAAGAACAAGATCTGGCTAAGACCTTCGCACCCGAAGCTGCCCAGGACAAGTAGAGAGGCCACAAAGGGCATGCCATAAGGATAAAAGGCGGATGCTGATATGATCAATATGCAAATACCGGACTTGTGGCCTCTCAACCTGTCTGGGGAAACCTGACGGCACCTGAGTTCCCCACTCATCGCTTTGCGGAAGAACTGTTTCAGTTGCCCCAACGGGATTCCTGGGACTCGTCCGCCCGTTGCGGGATACTATCCACCGGGAAGACCCTTCGAACGGCGCGGCGCGAACGCTGGCGCCACGGGGGTCGGCGCTGACTTGGTCTCGTGCCACAGGTGCCGACCGTCGTGCCGATGTGTTCCGAACGTCGTGCCAGACGTGTGGCATGGTTTCAAGGGCGATTGAACTGGCGATTGATCTTGTGTTGACCGGTACACCACCGTGGCTGAAGCCGACACCCCGAGAAGCCCGTTTCAAGCAAAGCCTATAGGGAACCGACGTGCTGGGCCACTGCGTGAGTCAGGATGCCATGGATTGCACGGTCCGCACGGTGCTTCGGGCCTAGTCGATCAATGTGACCCGCTGCAAGCAATGATCTGGTCAGCATGCTGGGTCAGCATGCGTCAGCTTGGGGAGGGAGATGTGGGGAGCGTTTGGTGGAATTTCCATTGAGCTTTCCAAGCGCATGTGTTCCTGAATTATCCCGGGTCACTGAGGCGACATTTGCACTAGAAACTGCAGCCGGAAAAGCCTGTCTGACAAAGTGATACCCTCTGACTCACTAACTTGGAAGTGGACAATGGCCTCTTTGAAGACTACTTTCCTTTACAAACAGGGTGTTTTCCACTTCCATGTTAGTGAGTCGGAGTGTATCGCATTGTGTACCAAAAGGTCCATCCGTTCCCATGAAATCTATCCCTACACCGAACACGTCGTACCGAAACGAAACGAAGGTATGACTGGACCCGACTGGCTGGCACCCACCCCTTCTACCCCTTCGAAACGGTTCGGTACGACTGGAGGCCTAGGGTATAGGTATGCTCGTACTACGTGATCCTTTTCCTGCGCTCTTGGAGCCAACTCCACGCCCTCACACCGTCCCCATTCCTACCAGCCATCCTTGAACGCCGAACGCCGACTGGGGCCGTCCTCGTAAGGCATGATCGTCGATCTTGCAGCCATGGCATTCATTGGCTGTCCATAAGCTATCCCTCACCTTTCCTGCGGAAGGGAGTGTCGCACCACCACCAGAGGAGTTTTTTTGTTTTTTTATTTTTTTCGCGACTCGCGACTCGTGTCGCAAGGCAAAAGGATCCTGGAACAAGACCAAGGTTAATGATCGTGTCGGATGTCCTAGGTATTAGGCGTAGCAAGTTCACCTGGCGCCAGGCTTCTGAATAGTGTACTAGGCTATGTAAGGTCAGGCCTTAATATGCCTATGTAGTTCAAAAGACAAGTGTCACAGTGTCATGTCAAGGTGTCCTTTCTAGCAAACTGAGCCTTAGAGAGTCTGACAAGCAGGTTCTGTAGTTGCACGTCGACAGGGTGCAGTTGTCTGAAGTGAGTGAAGTGATGTGCCCATCGAACAGTCGAAACGTAGACCACACACAATCAGGTGCACAAAAGAACCCAATCCCCTGGGAGTCAAAGACCATTAAAACAATGGTTGACCTGGTTTTTGTATTGTAAAATCCTTAGTTGATTGGGTAAAGCCGGTAAAGCCTATTAAATTAATGGTGGTTGGAAGCCTAGGGAATCAAATCATGTTGGAAAAGGTCGGGAGAAAACACAAAACATGAGACGCTACGAACGGAGCTCCTGGGCATCGCTACGAACGGAGCAAGGATGCTACTAAGGGCTCCTGGCATCGCTACTGGGAGCATTCGTACTGCTAGGAACTAGGAAAAAAAACACCTTGCTGGTGGTTGTACGAAACTCGTCAATGGGCCAACACCAAGGTTGCACCCACACTGATGCAAAAGATCTGGAGTCTTTCCACCATGCAAAAAGAAAGGGTTTCGTGGAGTGAATAACCTCTTTGGTCCTCCTAAATCAGGGCCAGGCCATTCACTTCCTGCTATAGGGAGTGTATGGGAGTGTATTGGATACGACTAAGGCGTCTCTCCTTCCCCCCTCACACAACATGCGCCTCGCACGTGGCTGTTGATCCTTTCAAACTTAGGCTTTTGATCCTCCCCTGGAAGACAGGGAGCTGCTTCGGTCGGTCGTAGGCGCCAGCAAGACGTGGCAACGGCTGGACTTTTGCAAAACACTGCTAGACTGGTGTCCAAGTTGCTTCATGTCATGGAATCTCCAAACCGAGCCACAGTTGCGGTCGTACGCTTGCTTCAATCAATACAATTTGTGGGACACGTCCGAGCTTTCTTCAAGCAACCAAGCAATTCTTTTCTCAGCATGCTTCAACCTCGATTCCCCGCGTTTGACACCAACCCCAAGCATGCCCTGCCCCTGTGTGTAAATACGAAACAAAACCTCAAGGCCTTTCCGCCCGCTCGGAGGAAAACCCGGAAGGCACCGCGCTTCCGGCCTTGCGTTCGCAGCCGGAGCTCGCGATCCAACGTTTCGCGATCCAAACGTTCATCCTGCAAGGCCTTTCGCCCAGCTTGGATCACCGGCCTCCACCGGAGCGCGCGCGGCGCGTTGGTGAAAAAGCTGTGGGACGGACCCTTTTGCAGGTTGAATGCGGGGTAGTGGATCCTGGAAATAGAAGGAACAACATTTGGATTTCCCTGTTTGCATTGTTTGCCTCATTGTTTGGGGTTCTTTTTTGGGGAGTTTACCACCTTACGTACGTCGGTTGAAAGATCCTTCCCGGACTCTCCCAGTGTCTTGTTGCTTAACTCGTTTTGTTGGGGAGTTTACAATTCTTTCTCAAGTTCTGTTTACAAATGCTGGCAGTGGAGTAAGAAAAGACGACAACACAAATTCTGGCAAAATCCTTCAAATTCAGCTGATTGGAAAACCTCTGGCAGGTCTCGTATTCCAATGGCGGGCATAATTTGTTAACTCTAACAGGAGAGGAGGGAGTTCTTTGACCTAATCCAAAGAATTCATGTGGTTTTGAGGATTTTGAGGGTGAATTGTCCATGGATTGTTAGGGCCCAAACGCTCCAAACAGCCCGAATGGTCCCTCAAAACCTAGGGATTTGAGCCCCCAGACCCCTCCAGAGGATTCGGGTCCGACCCCTCCATAGGATTCGGGCCCAGGGTCGTGTGTGGGGGGTATCAATCCCACAACCAAAATACCTGAAACACCGGGCCGATGTTCTCAGCAGTCCATCCCACCGCCTGCCCTCAGCATCACGCAGGAGTCCATCCAGCTCGTCGACCCCGGCGATGCGATTGAAAATCCTCCGATGCGATCGGTCAGTCGGGGAAACCGAAAGGAACAACTACCGGTCCGAGTTCCGTCGTGCAGTGCCAAAATTGGGCCTCGGCTGCCTCGGCTCATTTATAACCCTAGACTTCCAAGAGCGTCAACAAAAATGGTTGACCTGGATTTTGTAGTGTAAAATCCTTAGTAAAACAATGGTGGTTCGGTAAAGCCTATTAGATGAATGGTGGTTGGACGCCTATAGGGTGATCAAATTTTTGGAACGCCCGCTCCGGTTCGGTTGCAGGCCTTCGCTATTTGGTCGGAGGCCATCACGTTGAATCGATATATCACATGTAGAAAACACTCATCTTGTCTCTCACACCTCACAGCCCTTATGTGGGGGAGTGGCTTGGTGCCAAAGAGCCGCATGTTGTCGGCGAAAGGACAAGACCTCATAGATTGACCTGAAGCCAATTCCAATGTAAAGGGTTCTTCGGTTCTTCTATACCTGAAGCCAATTGACCTAGCTGTTTCTTAGGATAATTCTGGCTCCAAAAAGGGGTGGAAATTCAGGTTCGAGTATATAGCTACCCAAACGCTCCGTGAAACCAGCTCTTTCCTCCACAAATCGATCGGGATTGGTGAGAAACCCCATCCGACCCGGGCCCTACGGGTCGCCGACACCGCCAGGACTCTGTCGACGGTCTGCCGGGTTGGTGGTATTGGTGTCACGGATGTCCCAAGCCTCGCAGGATCGCGACATCGGTCGAAAACACATTGAACACCTGGACTTCCGAAGTGCACCTGCAGGTCCTCCAACTGGTGGCTCAACTAGTGGCTCAACTCTACAACTCATAGATATACAACGCTTGAAAGAACAAGAACTGAGCGAGGTCAAGAGAACTTGTGTCTTCCCTTTGACTTGCCGAGTCAATCATTATTCAAGGCCCTTTAGGCATCTATTCTACTTCGTGGCCCGGCTGCTGACTGAAATAGGAGATTCTTGCTTGCTCAGTGACGAAATGTCTACACCAAACCAGTTCTCCAAACGCAGGCCGCAGCAAAGAACTTGTTCCAGTTCCGTTTCTTTACCTTCTTTTTGCTCAACAAATCGCCCAAAACAACACCAGGAGACTCATTACTTCCGCGAACGCCGCATGGGAGTTTCCCCCGGTCGCTGCGCGCTTGCCCCGCGCCGGCGCCTCGACTGCATCGAGGAGCGCCACCGAGGAAGTACCTTCAGAGCCCACCTTCCCCGTGGGCGCAAACCTCGGAGCTTGAGCGACCCGGTTGATGATGGTTGATGGTCCGTTGATGAGAGGTACATGCCGTGATCCTGAAGAAATGGGTTTCCTGGTGGGTTTGTCAGTGATGCCAGTTTCTTCCGTCACCAAAGTGAAGATTGAGTGAAAAAGGAAGATACCCAAGTGAAGAAAGTGTTGGAAGGTATCCTTCATGGTTATGGATTGATTCTTTTCGCCGGGCTTTACTATTGCCATCCCGACTGGAGGGGTTCCTAAAGATTTTGGATTGAAACTTAAAACCATCTGTCTTCTTGTAAAACGGTCGCCGTGCCACGCCCAACCACCGGCGCCTCCCGAAAAAAGGACGGCCCCACCCCTGAGCTGCAAACAGGTCCAAGGTCTTGTTCTTTTCCGCACTCTGCCTCGCGCCGAAGGTCCGCCGCAGGTCGTCCGAAGGTGAGGTCTAAGAGGTGCTGTGAGTGGAACAAAAACGCCCCATTGAAGGGCTCCATCGAAGAGAGTTGGCAAAGTGACCGGCATAGGATGCGTTGCCTTCTTTTGGAGCGTTGGTGCCAAGGCCTCCTCTCACAGAATCGGAAAAGTATACAAACCACGGGTATCTCCCTGTATCATGATCTGCCCTTTCCACCAGCTTACGACAAGTACATGTTCCCTAGTACTAGGCCTCCAAGTACATTCTGAGGTGTTGGGGGTGGGTGCCAGGAGGGTCCAAATACCTGCTGAGGAGGTACGACTGGAGGTGTAGGTGTTGAAACACATTCCTGAAGAAACCTGCAAACATGAACTCGGGGTCTTAGAAGATGCACCCTTCACCGCGTTTTTGGCCGCGCAAGCCGCGGCACTGTACTGTCCAAGCACAGATCCTCTTCCACTTCACACTGTTTCACCATGCCCCTCAGTTACGTCTGGTGTAGTGCATCTATGGACCATGCTGGCAAGCATCTTTCCCCAACCAAATCCCAAACACCACCTTGAGACACCCCAAAAACCACCACCTTCACAGCTTTCTCCGTTCCTTCCCCAAACCTTCCCCTCCACTCCATATGTTCGCACCACATCATCTCACCACATCCCACATCCAGGGCACCAGAGTTCGAAGGCACACCAGGTCCGTGTAAGCGAACCGCTTTGCCGATCCACCACCAAGACCACGTGTTCGCAGCTCAAGAGGCCGCTCACGAAGGGACACGAGTCCAAGCTGGAGCCTGACGAGGACGTGGATGATGACGTGTACAGACCAACCGACACCGTGACGTAACAAACGAACCGCCCAGGTTGGGTGAAGAAGGTGAAGGAGGTGAGGAAAAGCAATTGGTCCAGAAAGTCTCCCTCCCTGGTAGATTATTCTGCTCACGGACGATGCGCTTTGTTTCTTGGGGGGTTTAATGGTTTCTGTAATGATCTGTTCCAATTCCTCCAAGCCAATGACCTCGTTAGACTTGTTTCGTTCAGAGTCAAAGATAATGAACTATATTTATCATATTTGACAGAAACTATAGTTTTACTTGGTCCCATTGTCATCATGATCTCTTCAGACATGGTATCGGATGCCGGTTTGGTTACCATCTGTTCTGATTGAAGTCAGCCGTTCAAAATGGCACATTTTAACAAACATTTCCGTTGGAACACCCCAAACCAATCCTCTCTATAGAGCCTGATTTGTTTAACAACATGGACAACTGTGTGCGTAACAGGTCCGCAACACCCCCCTCAGGTGATCTTCTAAAACACAGGAAACTATATAACTAGCAAGCTACTAGGGGCTCCTGGCATCGCTACTAGGATCAAGGACGCCACGAACGGGGCTCCTGGCCGTACTACTAGGAACAAGGACGCTACTAGGAGCTTTTAAAGGATATTAAAGGATATTAATGCGGTGGCTCGCTTTTGTTCAAAAAGGGCTTGAGTTCCGACATACGAAAGGTCCCTGTTAAACTTGATCGTTTACAAGCGTACCAGTTATAAGTTAAAATAAACTCTAATGTCAGACTTGTATATAGGAATTCATGCGAGTAAATTCATATCATCCAGGATGTTCTTATGTTTTAATGATGCAAACCTTATGTTTGTTTGATTGACGCAAGGGGTCGTCACGAAGAGTTGTTCTTGGAGTGCTTCAAGGTGACTTTGGCCCAGAGGTGTTGGGCAATGGCATGGGAATATTCATTCATCTTGATTAGATTGGCGTGTTAGCATGTCCATTTGTCAACAGGCTAAGCAAAAAAGAGTGCCCCAAAAGAATAAGAGAGAGCAAGATCACAAGTCGGGCACCCTTTCGCGGATGCGGGCAGCATATGACAGTAAGGCCAACAATATCCAACCTCCTCGATCCCTCGTCTTGAGTTTGCATAAGGAACCAGAAGGGGACTTAGCCGTAGGGAACATATACCCGCCGGGCTCGTTTCCGCGCATGCGGTTGAACACATTCTTCAAAGGCTGAGGTGCTCAATGATGACGAATGTCCGGTGTGTGACTGTGTTTTGCATTGATAGGAAAAGGTTTGTCGCAGCATTCAGTACATGAAAACAACTAAAAAATCGTAGCGATTTTGACATCGAAGTGCTACGAGACTGTGGTTTCGTGCGAAAAGAACGCGCGCTTTTTCATCCTCCAGCATCATCATCAGATCAAAGTCTGTTGGACAACTTCTGACCCAGCTTCGTCAGAAGATCGTCTTTATTCTGGTGCCAGCGCCATTGCCACTGTCGAATGAACTTCATGATGTTTGGGTTTATATCGTCACCGTCACGTGAACGCAAGCTAGTGGGGACCGACTCCTTACACAAACGCCACATACCATCAATGGCACCGGTGTGGATGAGCAGCTCTCCTGACCGCAACCTTTTCTTTACACAAAACACTCCTTTGGAGTGATTGATAGGAAATGTGGAACGAACACACCACAAAGCTAGACTACAACGGTTCAGTCAGGGAGACCCGGCTTTATCTTCGTATGCACTATGATGCACTGAACATGCAACGTGTTTAGCCCCCCACCCAACCGCTTCCTAATACAAATGCACACAACATGAACATCACTAGCCCCCCACCCAAACCCCCCGAACCCCCCCCTGCCCCCATCTTCCATATTCCAATGCGTGTGTTTGTGTGTGTTCTTGCTCCCCAAAAGGACTGTATGAAAAATCAGCTTCACTACACGCGCGGTTTTAAGCCCATTAGCATAAACATCACCGCAAAACCAGGTCGTCGTTGGGATCCCAGTGGCCGAGGTCGTCGCCGAACTGGTTCAGCGCGAAGGTACAAACCCAAATGCCATCGTGGATGCTGAGATAACGGTCCTCTGGCGTTTCTTTTTCGGCTTTTTTAGGCGATGAAAAACACAGGCGAGCTCGAAACAGTTCAGGGTCACCCATGGTCTCCATGTTGGCTTCGAGCTGCTAACTGCTAGCTCAGTAAAAAATCTAAAGTATAATGGTAATGGGATGTCATGGGGATTCTAGACTGGTTTCTACTACCACTTAAGACTTAGTCCGCGGCCCAAAGGCTCGGACATGCAAATAATGCTGTGCACTGCAGCAATAGACCGATGCAAGTGAAACAGTGGGTGTGAGTATCGCAGAGCATCAATCAAACCGGGATTCCCAAGCAACACATCATCACTGTCCTCATCACAGTCATTACAAAATCAATAGATTCCAGTCCTCCGTCCCGAATACGCCAGTTTTCACAGGCATGCAGCTTGGGCTCGTGTTACATCACATGACGATCTGTGTTACATCGTTACGACGTGTGTGGAAGGCTTTTCATCAGAAATACTGTGGGAAAAATGGTTCTCAGGATCAGAAAGCATCCTGGCCTCTGAGGAATTGTTGATGATCCAAAGTCCAACAAATGAGCTATATTTCCACCAACTGAACATCTTTCACGCGTCTTTCCCTTTCTAACCCGTCTAGACATAACCCAACAAGTTCTAGAGGTTGCGACGCAGCCACGCAGGCACGAGTGTCGTCTTTCCTCAGCCCAGCCCATCCACGTTCATGGACCCCTCGTTCGGTCGCGTCCTTACGGACATGCTCCGCCACTTGCATGAAGTCGCGAAAGTGTCCCCCCCACCAGTGGCTGAAAAAGACCTTTGGCCTCCACAGCGTGCGGTGCAGGCCAAAGAACGTGCGAAAAGCGGCGTGCGAGAGAACACGCGATTACATGCAGACACATGCACCAGTGTTACACGTCTTGAGTAGGATTCTGAATGGGAGCAATGTGTGAAAGTGGAGATTTGAAGAGTATGGGCTATCACAAAGAGAGATCGACAATGAGGAACTCAAGGTGGTTTGGACATGTTTTGGCTCACACCCATCATTCCACTTGGGGGTGCTGAACACATCTGAACTTCTCACTCACACATGCACTCTGTGCCGCTGGCCTCTTTGGCTCTCCACCATTCAAGAATTCCACCCAACCTGATTTCACATGATTTCACACAGCAGCTTGCGAGTGCTGAGTGCTGCTGCGAGTGGCGAAGACAATCCAACATGTTTTGCGAGCGCCTAAAGAAATACAAGATATCAGATCTTCTACGGGACCGATCATCCAACCAGAAATGGATCATTCAACCATCCAATCTGTGCAGGCTTGGACACAAACACGGCAGATTGATGGGTTGACTTCAGGAAGAAGCAGAGCAAGATCCTCACTTCCTGCGCTTCTAGCAAAGTGAAGCAAAGGCCCAGATGGTTGCTCTCCTCAAAAAGGGCCACGTACTATGGTCCCAGCGGATCATCCGATCCAACACCGAAGTCAGGACCGGTTCAAACGTCCGTTTTCCCCAAAGGGTTGGCGTCCTGCATGGAAATGATCATGTTAACCCTGCTCTTGCGCTTGCGGACTCATGTCTGCGGCCGCTGTGCAATGAATTATATCATCAGACCCAAAGAAATGCTAATATGAAACTCTAGAGGAGCATGGATGATCCTACATTTGGGGGCTGCTTACATGCAGGGCTGCTGCTTAATTTGTCCAGAACCGTTAAGCGTTGCCATGCGTAGCATTTGAAAACGGAGTACAGTATATCTTAGTCAATCACAAGCAGGTGGCAATGGTGATTAATTATGAATAAAGCGGCCCAACGCGGGGAGCATCGAACGGTTCCTAGCTCTGGCATTACTTGGCGGCACGCACAGATTCAGCCAACAAAACGAAACAGCATGAAACAGCAACATGCAGGTCCGATTAGCTTCAACGACTTGGCAAAATTCTTCCATCCCAGTAGCTTGTCCACCTATGTCCACCTGATGTTCATCCGCATGATAAACATCTTTATAGAGGACTAAAGGACCTGGGAACGGTTGGAGAACATTTGCGATGCTGTTGGATCGTTGTATCCCATCAGCTTCCAAAATCCAACAGCTTTTCCAGGCCCATCTCAGGCAGCTCACTGTACCAGGTCTGATCTGGACAGTGGGGATCGTAATGACGAATCACTTTCGTGAGGACCTCAGTGAAGATGGTGGCTTCACAAGGGGTTGGTCTAAAGCTGAAGACCCTCCACATTCCTCCACCAAATATTTAAGATGACTCAAATTCGGAAAAAGATTCCGAAACCAAAGGTACGGCACGTTTTTCATTTCAATCGGTTGAATTTCAGAACTACCCTCCACCAAACTGATCTAGCCAACTCCAGGCAAATTTGGGTGGCCAATTTGGGTGGCCACTGGGGCCCACCACGGCTGGTGCGACCAACGGGCAAGCATTCGGGTGGCGAACGGGTCAGGTCATCCCGTCGACGACTCGTCCCTGCTTGGACGAGTCTCAAAGCCGACCCGGTTGATGCGGTGGAATCTGGTCCAACATGGAAGTTCACCAAGAAGATAGGAGAATAGACCTATTTAGCGCTTCCGGTGTCCTGAATGGAAACCTATAAGTATAGTTGTGTGCCTACCAGCCAGGTGACCCCCGACGGAAGCAGCTGGAATATTGCGATGTTGCCCTTGCTCAGCCAAGTGAGGGTCTTTCCCTGCTAGCTAGATGTAGACACATATATCTGCATTTAAACATGCAACCCTTTTGGAACTGTGACTTGTAAACTGTTCATAATCTCCTCTTGATAGCAAATTCCCTTGCTGAACATCAAAGACGCCTCATAAAGAGTGTTTGGTGGTGCTTGAGTCGGTCAACCGAAAAGCCCGCTTCCCATCACTTTCACCAACAAAAGACCTTCGCTTTTCAGCAAAACATCTGTGCCATATTGTGCAATGCAAAACAAATCCGACGCTTGCCACACATCCTATTATGGATGAGTCCTGAAGAAGTCACTCTGCGCTTTTTGAGCTTCCTTTGATTGCTCAATGCTTCGAGCCCTGGAAAAAACATGGACGAATCCTCTGGGAGCCCTGGAAAAACGAAAAACAAACGTCCAAAGAACCCACGTCCACCACTTATCGTAGGGAGATTGAGCTGCGTTAACCACAACCGACTCTCTTCCTCCAATCCATGCGACAGCTTTTCAGCGTCAAGAGACCTCTTCGCTGATGATATACATATTGAGGAGCGACCTGAGGTCAAAGCTTGCCAATTGGACAAGGAATTGCCTGGAAAGCAAGATTTGAGGGAAAAAAACGGACTCAAAGACCTTAAAGAAAGTATTTCAGCATTCAAAGATGTGCAGTTTGAAGGTGGAACTTTAGTTTGAAGAACACCATGGCGCCCTTGCGTCCAATTTCCGACGAAGAGAAACCAAGGCCCAAACCAGGCCACGGGTTTCCCGTGCAGCTCCACACCTGGCGAGGCGAAGTCTCTAGACTTTCTCAAGTTCTCCACATGAGATATCCAATCCTCCAGGCAAATTTGGCTGATCAGTGAAATGGGTATGTGAGGAGTGCGCCGTCTGGCCCCTGGTTGGGTGGTAGACGGATCAATTTTCCTTCACCGAACCAAAGGAGAAAAGAACGCCTTGGAGGTCTAATTGAATTCTGAATACCCACCCAAATGGCAGTGAGCCAATCGCATGGAGCTCCAAGAATGCGGGTAGCTTGACCATATCCGGCAGCTCCTATTATTCTGGAATCATCATGATTTCGTGGAGTTCAGCAGCAATTTGTAGAGGATTTCATGGTCATCCAAGGGGCCATGCCATCCACTTCCATGATAGTTGCATGGCCAGGGATTGTGATCTATTCTGTGTCATGTTCGGTGGGGAAAAGAAAATGCCATGACCCACTACTGATCAATTCCTGGCCTAGCTGGTTTGAGCTGCTTCCCAAATGTAATCAGTGGGTGTTGGACAAACGACAAACCCTCCTTTAAAACTTAGAACATGCTAAAACACAATCATCTGTCAGGCTGGAAGCAACAAAAGGGTGGGCTGGAAAAAAGGGAGCATGCGAAGATGTTGTTAAGGTTGCAAGATGTTTGTGTTTGCTTAAGAACATCGTAACAACAGAAGATGAGAACATCTTAACAAGAGAACATCTTTGTTTAGAATATGAGACAATGTTTCTGTGTTTGTTTAAGTTAATTGCTACTAGCAAGGCTGCAAAGCAGCAGAAATCCAAACGAAGCTGGTCACACGAATGCGAGAGCGAGAGAGAGAGAGAGAGAGAGATGAATCAACAAAGGAACAAATGACACAAAACCATCTCCCAATCATCAAAAGCTCTTAGATGATTCTGGGAGGCGCCTCTATGACACAGGTACAATATCTATTATATATAGTAATTAAAGCTGTAATCAGTACAATATCTATATACAGGTTTTCATGCCTCGAGCGCTGAACCCGTCAGCTGCCGCCTTTCAGGGTCGACCCTCACCTGCGTTCACCGTTCGTCCTCTCCGCGTTTGTGTCCTCCTCGCGCTGGTCTGCGGCGCGGGATCGCGAAGCGGCGCCTTTTCTCTTGGACCACTCACTAGTGAATCTCAGCAGCCCAGCCTGCGAGGAGCGGGACGAGCGGGGCATAGCAGGAGGAGCGCGAGCAAAGCCGCGAGAGGAGAGCTAGGTGAGAGGAGTCAGAGAAGTGAGGGGATAAGGTGAGTATGACTTTAGTCATTGCTTTCTGAAATGGTTCCTTCTTTTTTGCACCAGGAACAGAGTTTGGGCAATGTCTGGCTTTATAAGAAGCAATGATCGATGAGGCAATAAGGCTAAGTCTCTAGGCTTCTCATCTTTTGCTGGTCACTCTTTTCAAGATACTCCCCCAGCCCTATACTCGACAACCAAGAATAAGAAGCCGGGTGTTTTTTGTGGATCCCTCGTCGCGAGCGTCGCGAGCTTTTCCCTGTCCAACCCGCCACACCCGCCATACCCGTCACCACACCTTCGATAGGGGTATTACCCGTCACCCCAGAAACGCTGAACGACCACGGGAAGAATACACAAACTTGTGCTCCGAGACCAAATGGTGCATGGCCTTGCAAAGCCTCTGCAAATAAATCGACAAGTCGTTCAACTGGCCTCAGCGCCCAAAGACGGACGAGTAGTGCTCATACTACGACGAGTCCCGAGCAGTCGATGTATATAATATTGACATCTAAGGCCCCATCCATTTTGGCCAAATCTTCCAGTCTTCATGGATTGTTTGAGGGGTGCTCCCAGCGCAACGGCTACAATGCCAGTCAGCAGTTTTCATTGCATGCCACGACCATGGCTGGAACCAGCTTGAGGTGGAACATGACCCATACCTAGAGCCCTTTAGACCTCTGTTTTGATTGGAAGTTGGACCCCATGTTGGGTGGTTGATGATCCAAGATAGAGGTCACTCAGGATGTTAGGTGCACAGTATAGGTGTTCTGAATTAGGGGCCATTGATTCCGTGATTCCCTTCGTTCTCCCGAGACATATGTTTCACACGTCCAAAACGGAAGGGAAGTCTGTACGGGAATCTTTTTCCGGAAACCGGGCCTGGCAAGACTTGAGGGAAATGTGCATCTTTAGCACGATTCTTTTGTTTTCCCAAACACTCCATGGGACTGGAATATCTGCTGCCGCATTGACCCCCCAAACCACCCCAATGTAGTCAAATATGGCATACATGGAGTGTCTGTTTTAATACAACAAAAAATCGACTGGAGTCAAGGCCAAGCCCAGGGGCGGATGGTGATGGCACGATTCTCGTAGCCACGGATCCGCTTGACAGGCTTGGACCATTGCTTCCATGGCAGGGGCATTGCAAGTGGCGTTGGGTGGATCCCTCTCGCAGTCAAAGAAGTTAAGAAGTGGGGATGGGATGGGATGGGATGGGTCAAAACTATAAAAGTCATTCTTTTGGAACTGCTTGGGAAATCTCTATTCGTACCACCGATGATGATGATGATGATGATGATGATGATGATGATGATGATGATGATGATGATGATGATGATGGATTGGGCGTCCAGCATAAGAAGCTCTGCAGCAAGGATTGCAGGCCTTTCTCTGAAATAGTGATATTCTTGTTTACCAACGGCTCGACAGGCTTACTGGGACAGACCTGAGTCCTTGTTGTTTGATCTGCTCTTGACTCTTGACTCCAAAGCCTTTGAGATCTTTTTCGGATGTAGCAGCAAGCAATGCTTACCTAGTTTACCTCTTGGATCTTCTTCCGCCGCAGAGGTGCTTTTCACCTGTTGCCTTGGCTTCTATGCTCATGTAAATCATCTATACTGGGCCACAATGGCTTCAAAAACATGAGACATCTTTCAGTCTTTCATGGTCAAATTCATGTTGTTTGCGTGGCAAACAACACGCTGCGATGCTACACGCTCGGAAAACAACCCAAACATATATATGTGTGATTCAGCCTGAACATGGAATGTTCCGCTCCTGATTATTCCGCTCGACGAGTTAGGAGCTTCGACAAACGATATATAAATATATATATAGCAATAAAAGAACAGTCTTTCTCAATCGAAAACCCAAGGACCTTGGCCTGGGAACCCGTGATATCTCCACTTCTGGTTGAAAAAACAGACCAGCCATAATGGGTAAACAAACTACGTCCACGCTGCAAAGCAGGTGCATGTTGACAAACATCAGCTGCAACAAACGACCAAAACGACAAAGATTCAAGAGATTTGCCAAACACAGGCAAAGAAGTGCATAACTGGATGCACATGGCACCAGTTTCAGAGGCTTCGCTTTCCATTCCTTCTGGTGCTTTTCGAGGAGTGCGAAACCCAACTGACCAAACGGACCAGCGATTTTCAAAAACAAAGCCTGCGCCTCCGAATCCCCAGCTGACCAGCTGACCGGGCGCAACGCCCCGAGATCCGGCACCTGCGCTCGTCGAGCAGCTTCCATCCAGCCAGGTGACCGGCCTCCGACGCGGCGACCGGCCGAACGCCGTCGCCACACCGCGGAGAGCGGGGATGGGCAAATCCCATCGAAGGCGAGCCAGATCAGTTCACCCAAAGGTGAAAATGGGTAATTCGATGGTCAATCCCCATATACCAGCCAGGTCGCTGGACAGTGTCATAGGTCGTAAGTGAGCTGATCAAAGAAGGTGCCCAAAAATCTGAGTCTGGTTGGAGGTTCTGGTCATAGAAGGCGATGTTCAGCGACAAGGAATGGGATCCCAAAACACAGCAGCACATGGACACAGCAGTGATTTAGTTTGCTTTCGACCTGCTTTGTGTTTGGCCACGTTTTCTTGTCTTTTTTGACGTCTGGGCTACCCTACATTTGAGCAATAGTCCATCACTGTGAGGGTAGCAATGGATAATGAAGCAAGACGGTTGAGACAGACATTTGCCTCTTATCGCTTGCTTGGGAGCCCGGTTGTACGAATCTGATGCAAACAATAAAAACATATAAAAACATCGTCGAGGAATGCGCGATCTGGGAGGGCATTGTCCTGCTACTGTTCCGTTCATGCTTGGAAGTCGTGATCCAGCTTGCAACATCAAATCTGCAGCTTGCAACCCCACAGGCAGCTTGACCACATTTGAGCACTCATGTCAAACAAAAATGCAGGAAACCCGTGGCAGAACACATGAGTTGTGTTCTGAATTACGTCCCGTATCGTTTTACAATGTTTGGTATATAGACATGAGCCCTCCCGTATCGCCCGGTATCGCCCTCACTTCTTCCCCCTTGTTTTTCACACGGATGCGCGTGAAGCGAGGTCGACCAAAAACGTATGACGGTCTCGATCCCTTCGCATCGTGCGCCTGAGCCACACGGTGCCGAAAGCCCAGGCGAGTGGAGCCTTCGAAGTGCGCCTCGCGCTCGGCGGGGCGCGGCGAAGGCGAAGCGTGCCGCCTTGAAGCCCAGAGACGACAACGATCGGAGTGTGAAGACCCTCGCCTCTACCAGCCTCCCTGCCACCCCCTGCCAGGTCTCCGAAATGGTCTTTTGAAGACTCAAAAGTCGCAGCTGGTGACCTGTTGGAGGGTGCTGCTAAAGTCTTGGAGGTGGACTATAAGTGCAGATGCTACTTTTCCCTCAGAGGGGTTGTGATGTCACAGTACAAGTACAAGAGCTTCCGATAGCCATGCGATGTCTTCCGCCAGGTGCATGCCATATGCCATAAACGGAGGGTTGACTGCTTACAATTAAAACCCACATGATCTGCAAACCAAAAAGCATAAAACACAACTCCAAAAAACTGGTCCGAACCCCGTGGAACAACGGACCCCTGCCCAATCCTTCCCACACCCCCCCCAAACCGAAACTGAGAGGCCATGGCCCGTCTCAACCCCTTCTCCTCCCGGTCCACCGTAAGTGCCGCGGTGCCGCGGCGGCGACGAGGCGCCTGATACTTCAAAGTCTCGAAGATCACTTCGGCGCCGTTCGCCTCGGGCGAAGCAGGGGGAGTCAGGAGCCTTTCGCCTTGGAGGAGAGGCAGGACCCAGCAAGGTCACCCACCAGAAAGAGAGACGTCTGGACGGAACGGAACTCCCCAGTCCCAGCCATTTTCCAGATGTTTTCAGGATCTCAAGCTGTTTCCAGTCTCGACTTGAGAGAGGAGGGGGTGAACGAAATTACAGGTAGCAGGCAATCAAAGGTGGACCCTGGTAGAAGTCCATGAGGGCGTCAAAGGTGGATGTGACCCAAACAGCGACGGCGCCAACCAGACTGGCGTCCAACTCGATTCTGGTGTTGGTTCCTAGGCAGGAGCATCCGACCATCTGCGTGTCCAGGCTGGATGCCTCCCAGCCCACTATAGGATCTCGTTGTGTTTTTTGTTGTTCCGCCAGCACACCCGAACGGTTGGACGCTCCAGGTATGGTCCAGGGATGGTCCAGTTGTGCTTCTGTCTGGGTGTCCTGTCCGGAGACCCATAGTCGTGTATAGGGTCGTCCAGCCAGTGCGGGGTCAGTCCGAGTTCGGAAGCAGTTGGTAGAAGCTGAGTGACCTCAATTTTTGACCAGAGAGCACACCAACTCTCAAAAAGAGGGAAACATATCCGGACTCACGGTAGATGGGTGAACTTCTATAGGTAGTTTCTTGCTGGCACTAGAGTCAAGATGATGCCATGTCATCGATGGGTGATTTCGGATAGTGCCCTGTAACTTCAACCCATCTTAGAATTATGCAGTTTTATTAGTTTTCATCATTATCCATGCTGGTCCAGTCTGACCCAGTCAAACCTGGTTGAGTATTATAGTACCTGGACCCTCCAAGGGGTGTCCAATGGACTACCCCACACTACCTATAGGCTTCCATTGGGCACCCCTTGGAGGGTCCTGGTGTGTTAAAATGCTTTAAACATCGGACCCAACACCCAACACCAGTTCCGGCCAGTTCCTGACCTGTCAGGTGATGATTGTGAACGATTAGGACCAAAGCCACACGCGACTAATGGAACCCCCAGGTCAACCACCCTAATGTATAGGAACCTGGGAAGTGTGAAGTGGAACCAACCTGGTGGAAAGGTCACGCAAAAAACACCACCTGCGCTTGGACTGTACTGATCACGTTCAGTTTCCGGCCATGATGCCCGCGAAGACTGACTCCTCCAAACGTCTGGTCGACCGGTGAACGCGTACGCGAACGGCTGCATCGTTACCACATATTGGAGAAAATAGCTCATTCCTGCGCCCTGTCCCGCACCCAATTGGTTCTGAGTTGTTTTTTTGCTTCTCGGTTCTCCAAACGATTTACAATTCGGCTCGCTCCTGGTCGTTTTGCTCGTTTTTCACTCACCGTGAAGAAGAAACTCGTTGTTTTGGTGGAAGACGGACGCGTGTCTGGTTGGAATTGGGGATGCGGACTGCATCACCGTCATCACCCAAAGAAATGTGCCGTACAATGACCCCAGACACTCCATGGGACTGGCATATATATAAACATATACACCCTAGGGCTCCAACCATATCCTCAGAAGGTGGTTAGACCCCCCTGGCACCTAAACCACCTTCGAAACGGAGGTGGGCCAGGAGCCCTAGGGACATTGACCCCCAGGTCAACCACCCCTGGCTTGATCGGCATATAGACCAGTCCCACGGAGACCTGGGGATGATGGCACGCCGAAAAAGTGTGTGCCATGTACCCAAAGGGACGGCATTTTTTGAGCCATGTACCCAAAGGAATGCACATCTTGCCAAACAAATTGAAGAATCTCTTCACTATATACCCTAGCAGTGCAAAGACTACAATTTTCCTTAAAGTGAAGTAAAGGAAATTCCCTTAAACATACGAATACTCAAACCATTATTTTTATACAGTCTTCGACTCCCAGGGTATATGAAGCATTGCTCCCAGCTGCACTCATGAATCCTCCGCCCCAGGCCCATGCAGGTTCCCGATCAGAACTGCTCGATGCCAACTGTGTTCCACAAAACGATGCCTCCATGGATGAAGTTGTTTTAATGTGGTTGTTATAACGTACCGGTGAACCCTTGAGAATCGATTCTACAACAAAACGAAGAAGCCAACCTCAGAGGGCAGTTTTTGCCCCACTATAGAATCAAGTATCAACCTCCTGCGGTGCTGAAAACCTGTTCTCTATAAAATGGTTTCAGCTCAATCTACAGGCCAAAACAGGTGTTATCATTAAGTCTTGCACATTTGCAACTGACACTTTTCCAAAAGACAACTGGGTCTTGAATCACCACCTGCCCGTCCATCCCGTCCATTCGCGACTTTTCTTCCCCAAGCGTGACGCAGTCACGACTTAGCACAGTTTCATGTGCATAGATAGTCTAGCAACTGAAGGCTCACCCGCGCACAGGACATCATAGTCATTGCCATGAGGAATGGCAACAAAATGTTAGAGTAGTGTTAGGATTACAAGTTCACTGACCAATCTGAGCCACCCAAAAGCACTGGGATGTGGTCACACTTCAATCCCCCAAGACTCTAAGTAGCGTTTCACAGCTGCATTTTCACGTGGCCCAAAATCCAAAATCCACCTCAGAGAATGGTGAGCTAGTCAGAACAAGAACCAGGACTGTTTCCACATGTTTCCACCATCATGACGGGGCGCTGCTTCCTGGCGTTGTATGCATCCTGCTTCGCCTCTCCGGGTGTCTTGCCCGCAGCTTTGGCACTATGATGGACGGCTGAGTAAACCTGAGGCTGAGTACACGATGCGATGGGGACTTGTAAAGGTACCAAACACTCAGATAAGTAATGGACAATGGACAAAGTGAGTGAACGCATATACAATCTTTGACTCGTTAAAGCCCAATCACTGCATGCATTTTCCGTTCCACTTCATCTTTGACTCTTGGTTTGTGGATCCTGCGCTTTGGGGATGCTTTAGCTTTTGCTGCAGCCTTTGCTTTGACTTGTGCTTTGGCTTTTGCTTTGGGACGCCGAGACCCTGCAGTAGGGCAAGGCTTGGGTTTGGATTTGGCAGCCAGTGCTGCCCTCTTGGGTGAGGCTTTTGCCTTGGGAATGGGTGAGGTTTCCACAGGTTTGGGACTTGCGGGTTCAAGAGTTTCATGCCCAGTCCCAACAGCAGGAACTTCTTCATGCGATGCCACAGGTGGCGTCTCAGGGCAATCAGCAATTGCATCATTCTTGGGTGTGGTACTTGAACGCCCAGGATCATCAGCAACTTCATCATGTGGGGCCGGAGAAGCAATCCCAGGCGGAATATCCGGCTCCTCAACCCTCTCCGCATTTGCCAAGGAAGGCTCCTGAAACATGAAAAGGGTGTACCTGCACTGGTGTGACTCCCTTACCATGATGGTAGATAGCGGTTTAGTTATTAGTCATGGCTATCGCTGCCAAATGCTGCCAAGGTAAATGCAGTCAGTCCTCAACCTGCTGATCTTCCAGGAGCTGCTCCAAGTCATCATGCGCAAAACTCCGGAACAGGCCAGGCTTTGCCTCCTGTTGTGGATTGGGTGATGTGTTATGTTAGGCGGCCGACTGGTTCAACCCCAAACAACCTAAAGCAGCAACATCCATAGTCCTGGACAACGGTATCAGGGTCTACCAGTGTATCATCCACTGAATCACACGGCTCCTGGCGCAGCAGGGTTTGCTCGGATCAAACCCCCATGGCCCAAGAAAGTTCGACCCCTTCCCGTTGATCAACATTGATCAATGTATCAAATTGAAGTCATGGTAGTTTGAAGATTGGAAAGCTGAAATGGTTGTCACATCTCTTTCGGGGTGAACGCTTTCCACACCTAAATGATGTGCTGTTTGTTAGATTGCCAGGCCAGGATTTCAACAGGTCATGTGTGGCGGCTTCATGTGGCTGATGCAGCCCCATGCCACCACAAAGGGTATAAATATGTCGTGTAGATAAGTTTTGTGCCCCATGTATCGGTCACAGTATACCTATATACTGCTTGATAACTATATATACTATTATTGATAATTACCTAAGAGTTCTGAACCCTGAGTTATGTATCATCTTCACCATTCAAGATGAAAGGCAACCCTACGAAACAATGCTAGACCCTGAAAATCTATGATTGGTAAGTATACCATCGCCCAAACTGGATGTCAAAACATGTGTTTGTCAAGCAGTCCACAACCTGGCAGCAGGCTTAAGGTAGTGACCCAAGAATTCCAAATCACTTTGTCCTTGTAGTTGGGAATGTAGTCGGGCAATCCCATCTGGTTGTCTGGATGCTCCAACCTGAAGGTAGCAGTAGGCCAAGCATGTTGCCGACTGTTTTTCAAGCAAGTCACCTACAGTGGTTGGGCCAAGTGGCATCTCGACTGGGCCGACTGGGACAACGCTCTCCATCAAGATGCTATCTTCGACGAAGTCAGGTAGTCCCAAACTCTGCGACCTGGGAAGATGAGAGATGGGATGACTTTCTGCTAGATGGCATGACTTTCTTGGGATTGTCCCAAGGCACCTGTAGGTGGCATAGTCATCACGTCCTTCGATCATATACGCAAAGGGTTCCATCGGTACCTGTGCAGTCTTGTACTGGCAACATATCAATCAATGAACAATTCAGTAGTTTGGAACCCGCCCCAAGACAAGCCTCATCATCAGCTCGCTTTGATGATGGCCGCTTCTTTGATTCGTTCCCACCCTTACTGGCAGCAGGCTTCTTTGACTTGTGTGCTTTGTTTTTGCTATCGTCCGAGAAAAGGTCGTCAAGACCTTCAAGGCCACCAAACATGTCATCGTCGTCATCATCATCATTGCCACCACCCAAAGGGCAGTTGGAATGGTCACCCCCATCATCCTCATCTTCATCATCATGATTCTTCTTACGTTTCTTTTCTTTACCGGATTTCTCTTTTGCTGCCTTCTTTTTCTCTCCCTTTGTTTTATCTTTCTTCTTCTGGTTCTCATCATCTTTCTTGCCGGCCGGTGGTGAGGACTCTTCAGATGAATGGAACCTGTCAGGCAGGATGTCTGCAGCCGAAGTCGGGGCAGCACCTGGGAAGACATGAAGAACTAAAGAAATCATTTCAATGATACTTGTAATGTTTTCAACGTTTGAAGCATCTTGTTTCTGAAAAGAACTGTTTGGACAAACTTTTTGGTACAAGATGAGACATGGCACTCAAAGCAACAGGGGGGCGGGATGGCGCAGATTTGGGTGCAGACCCGGACGGTGCGGACCCGGAGCGGCTGCCAGATCCAAGCAGTTGATTCAAATCAAAAGCCTCAGCTATACATCAGAGATCATCCATCCTAAGAGGATTCCAGAAACATTGCATATGAAGCTGACACATTGCCTGAATCGACCAATTCATTGATGGTTTGATACCATGTTTTATTAGTATTTCACACAGTCGTAAAACATATATAAGTCAAACAGTAAATCAAACCTCGCCATTGCCCAGTATGCAACTGCAACTAAGGGGCTGGGGTCCGAAGTTGCGCGTTAGGCATGCTGAGGATCTGCACATCCGAGTCATCACTCGGAACTTTGTTCAAAGTTCTGCGCTTCGACATGGTCGCCACAAGGTAGATTTACAGACCCCTTGAAACCTACTCTCCTAAGCCACAAAACAGTTCAGCAAAGATACAACATCACAGTTCTAGCAACCCCTGCCCTGTGACAATGCAACTGCAGGATTGAAGATGCTGCAAGACCGTGAGTTCCAGGAGACGGCGATGGGACAAGGGGAAGCTGTTGGTAGCCTTTTGCTGGCAGAGGTGGCTGGATTGTTCCTAGAAGGTTCCCAGATTTCACTCAATGGCATATATGAATCAAATATAACCAAATCGTTGTGAGTCAATGTGAATCAGAGTTACTTTCATGTAAGATTTGGGTACAGTAGATGAAGGTACCTGGGAACCGAGATCGGCAAAAGATCACCGAGGACCGACGTGGTCCACAGAAAGTTGGTCACATGACCTGCAAAGATCTGCAAAGCAGGCCCTGTTTGGCGCAATCAAACGATAAGCATCATGACGGAGCCATAACCACTGTCAACCAGCTGCATTGCATACCAAGAAATAAATAGAAGTATCCACACATAAACCCAATATCATTCTCCCAAGATATGGTTCTAAGTAGTTCTAAGTGACCATACATACTCTATGGGTTTTGCTCCTGATGCTTGCTAGCCCCCATGATTCTTCAGAATCAAAACACTTTCATCACAGTGCTCCCAAGATCGAGAACGCCGGTGACGCATGCGATGGGTCGAAGGGGCACCAGGGTCTTCACACCTGATGCGTTGTTTGTATCCAACCTGGCAGGGCAAACAAGACCCAGGGGCTCATGAAGCAACATCAAACAGTTGCCTAGATGACACCACCGGACCAAAACATTTGGTGATACCACATGACACCTCATCCGCCATCCGACCATGAGTCGCTGGGCCCGCTTAAACTTGCCGATGTCAAGGATGGAACCGAAGTTCTTATGCGTCATAGATCCGGACCCCTTTTCCTTTCTGCCTTTCTTCTTTTTTGGTTTCCCATCATCCTCACGATCCAGCTTGGGAGGATCCATCACAAAGACCAGCGGCTTGTCCTGCTCGATCTTGGTCGTCGAGGAGAGGACATGATGAGTCACAGCCAACTTGACCTCAAAGGGAGGGGTCTTTGGGTTAAGGCAAATGAGGTCAAGGATTTTTCATGTCATCTATGATTGTTTTAAAGAATGTCATTGTAATGCTGGTGTTTGGGTGGCTTTGATTAAACAAGACAATGCTTATCTTGGTTTTCTTAAAACCATACCTCTCCAGCATCCTCGAGCTCCCGGATGATGGTGGACAAAGGCGTTGGTGAGTCCACACATGGCAAAGAAGCCAAATGATTGGCCAAACCCTTTTTTTCAAGTAGCATCACTGTGTCAAGAGTAACGTTGAAAGAGAACCATCTCCCGCAGCTGTCGGCCATGATGTCGGTTGCATCCTGATGTGGGGGACAACATCGATATGGATCTTAAACATCCTCATGCACATACACACAGTTCTTGTGCAAGTATCCCTGAACTATGTGAATCCAAGCGTCAGCATTCACCCTCCAATCGCCACTACCAAAGCTGAACCTGCGCAGAGCAGGCATTAGGGAAATGACTGGAAATGACCGATAGTCAGATGGACACAGGAACAGCAGTTGGTGTTGGATGTGTGCAGGCGAGAAGCATCTCACGATGCATCAGAAACTGGTTCTTCCCCCTGGACACGAGGTACAGCGGAGCCCCATCTTGGCCACATGCCATTTCAGCGCAATTGTTGATTTGGAAGGTGAACCTTATTCACTGGAAAGGTCCTCACTGGAATTTGGGGTACTCATGCCAGATGGAAAATAGAGGCAAATCAACGCAGACTTGGAATCAGTTGCGGATATCACTATGTCAAAAATGAAATTGTTTCCAAAATCCACCATCCAAGGGACGGCTTTTGAAGATTGACAACATCAGCTTCCTTGCCAATCTCTGCATCTTCCAGTTTGACCCTCTTGAAAGGACGTCCAGGATCATCAGCTTCAGCGGGCCTGCCCCAGGCCGGTGCAAAGGGCTTTAGATGGGGTTTGGAGGGTCAGGTTAGGTTGTGGTGAAATCTCCCAAACCCATTCACCATCATTCACCGAAGAACCTCCCAATTGTAGGAACCTCACAAACCCGCAAACCCGCAAACCTCACAATCCAGTTAACCCGCAAACCCGCCTCTCGTTTTCATGCCAATACTCACCATCAACATTGAACTGTTTGTTGTGCTGCTCTACCAGGGTAACAGTCGCGTCCTTGAACTCCGTCTCCAGCCATTTGGCTGCAAAGGCTTGAAGAATTACAAGGCGATCATGTTTCTTCACGCATACCTCATACTTCTTTTCCATGTCATCCGGCTGCACTTGCTGAATCGCCTGGATGATAGGGGCGAAAGCAGGGAACCCCACAAGCTTTAACTTCTCCGCCCTGCAACTCTCATAGATGTTGTTCGCGATCCGCTGAACCAGCAAATCGGGTGGCTTGTCAAGCACCACGCTGCCGCATAGGACTCGGCGACCTTCAGCGCAATCCTGGCTGGCGAGATGGACCGGCGGGAAGGGACTATTGGCCTTGTTTTTACTGTATCCCGTTTTGTTGCTGCGAGTATAAGCGCATCAACTACACAGATATCAGCTTTAAAGAATAACAAAGCAGCACAAAACACGATGCAATATATAACTGTTGGTAATCTTAAAAGAACATGTTCATTTGAGCAAGGAGGGTAGAATTGATTTGATAGCAACTTGCTTGGAAAAGATATGAGTGTGTGGACCTGGAGAATGTGAACAACTACGAATGTGTGGCCCCAACACGATGTCCTCCAATGCTGCAAGCGCTGGCCAGCAGTCATAGCAGTGAAGGTCAATGATCACGCTCGTGCCAACCGTGTCGGGCAAAAATGATGCAAGGGTCTTTTTCACAAAGTCCGTTCAGCCACCGACCTGAGGTTTAGGTTAGCCTGTTTTACATCCTTTTTAGGGTAGCATCTTCAGAGTATAAACACCAGTTGGTTGCTGAGGGACTTGTCTCAGTTCTTGGGCATCTGTGAAAGCTCGCCCCAAGTGCGGTGTCGATGTATTGGCCTGGCAGGGCGGGGCAAACAGTGGAAGTTGAGGAGGCTGAAGCCTGAAACCAATAAAACTTACTAAGTAGTGTTTTGGCAGCTAGGGCCAAAAGGATGAAACCCATTTCATACAAGGCAGGCCTCCGGTTTGAACATCTGTGATCTCGGTAGCATGAGGACATCGCGGACGAGACCATGCTTCCAGCCAGATGTCGACTTGAACATGTTCAGCTTGTCACGGTGCACCACTGCAAGTCCAGAAAGGCAAGCATCTCGTTTGCCGTACACTGAAGCCTCAAGCCCCAGCCAATGAGGGACGAACAGGTGGCAGCAACAAGTCATACACGTATGGCCAAGCATTGTAACAACGACGGACAAAATAGACTATATACGAACATCCAGGCTCGCACAGTGGCACAGTGCATACACATTACACGTTTGGCATAGCAAGATTGAGCAAGAAGACATCCTTGCAGAAAAAGGTGCCCCGTTTTAAACTGAAAGCTATTTGAAAGCTAAAGTCATTAATCAATTGGAATTCTTCAGGCATTGCTGAATATGTTTCTTCGGGCAATGGCTTGTCACATGTCATATTTCAAATAGTTACCTCTCCGCATACAAACTTGTAGTTTGGGAACAAGCAGCCTGATCAAATACCCAGGTCACGTTCTTCACGCAAAGATTCCGGTCTTTTGCAGAAAGAGCTTTCCTCAACTTTCACCAACTCCCAGCCCACAGGGGATGAACTGATGAACCAAGCAGGAAAAGAAGTGCAACATCCTGGAAACAAAGTCACTTAAAAATACAACATCTGATCCGATCATGTTGAGTGTCTCAAGCTTATGTCGCACATCCCGGATGTCAATATCCTCCGGGTTATCTTTCTCAATCTCATCGGACCCGTCCTCGGTCTCGTCATCACCAGCCTCATCATCCGGTTCTTCCTTCTTCGTGTCCTCCTCCTCATCCTTCTCGGTCTTCTCCATCTTTGCACCGGATTTCCTGCAAAGGCTGAATCATTGTTGCTGAGACCCCCCCTCTTCCCAAACTTGCCATTGATGCGGCGTGGCACAGCTTACAAACTAAGAGTCTAAGAGCCAAAACTAAAGGGGTCCTTCCAGTGTCAGAAGCACGGTTGCCGTGAACAACAAAGGCGATGGAGTTGCGCTTGTGCGACGCCAAGATGTTCGACACAGCTGTCAGAAAGAAGTCCATTTTGGAAGCAGGTGTGACACCGCAGGTCGGTAAGTTGAGCCAGACCACAATACAGTGGTCGTTCGCGCAGCGAACTTCCTTCAGGCGGCCAGTTAAAGAAAGAAGGTCTGATCAAGAAAACAAAAGCATGCTTGTGAGCCCGTCCCCGTGCATGTTGTTGGAAAATACATAAAAGCGATTACACACTCACTCTGACAAAGTTCTGGAATCTCAGTCAGCGCATCATGCACCCATGTGGTGATAGAAGGCAGGATGGTGGACTCTGCGTCCAGGGCCTGGCCAGTGAAGGTGTGCAGGTTGCTGTCCATGTACTCTTTGATCTGACTCCATGCTTTCTCGTGCATGACCTGCCATGAGTGTTGTAAGCACCCCTTTTCAACCATGATTAGCTCAAATCGTTTTCAAGGACCCCGATTTCAACATGACAACGGACCTGGTCTCAAATAAGGTGAGTTCCCGCAAAATGGACGGAGGTGATTGTGATAAGAGTTGGATAAAGTCCCGAGCAGTTCCCACCAGCCAAAGAACAATGAATTTCTTCAGGACTAGCACTGAAAACATTGAATACTGATTTCTGGCATCATCCCACCTCAAGCTCAGCAACCAGTTTTTGTCGACGTTTGGATTGCTCCTTCTCACTCCTCGAGCTGCAGGACTGGGACAAAGGAAGCTGAAGAAGGCAGGAGCAGCTAGGATGTGAACCGGGACCGGATGGAGATGCCCACGGTTCGTATTGCATAATGTATATATATATATCATATATCTATATAAACTGGATCAAAGTTGCGTTAGTCATTAGTTCATAGTGGGTGTGACCTTCTTGGGGTCCAAAGCTGCCCAGTTTTGACTAGACACCAATGTATGATTACATGCAGTCGGCAATGAAACGGGGAAGATTGCAAAGCCTTACACAGCTCGAGATGGATAAGACCCAAAACAGGTTGTTGTGTCAGTGGTGATGAAAATAGGATAGTTGCGTCGACTTCATAGCGTTTTGTCAAGGCAAAAGTAGATCATCAGTCCCAACCACGCAAATGAACAACTCCTGTTCTGCATGACCGTGTTTACCATCATTATCTCCATCGTCCTCACCATCCGCATCAACATCGTCACTACCACTATATACCACTATTATAATCAGCGTCATCATCATGAACATCATCATGGTCAACAGACATCATGGTCATCAGACATCATGGTTGTCATCGTGGCTTCCTAAGCCAGTGTTCTTCATTACCGCCAACATGATATAAAAATATGGAAACACACTGGGGAACATCAAACATTGGATCTTTCAACCTTGTTGTGTTCATCAATGACATTACAATCAAGCAGGTGCTCATCCATCAGCAGAACGACCACACAGCAAGAACAAGACCAGAAGTAAGGTAAAAAGATCGGAAACTAAACAAATACCTATCATCAGCACCATCCGCACCACCCCAATCATCACCAGTTTCATAGCTAAGGATGAACCCAACATCATCAACAAACGCATCAGCATCACCATCATCATAATCAACATCGTTGCCACCAAGTTTCAGCATTTGCATCCTAGCCACCAACATATCATCAATCCTTCTTATCCATCAGAATCATAGCATCATCCACAGTCATCTAAGTCAGACAAAGGGACTGGGGCAATCTGGCTGACTATGATTGACCATCGAATTTGACCATTCCTTGTTTTTCATCATCGCCATCCTCATCATAGTCATCATAGTCATCATCATCATCACCATCATCATCAGCATCGTCTTCATGACCATCGAGTCATCATCACCCATTTAACAGTATTATCACACCGGAGGTCAACAGCGCCAAAACCAACCAAGCTGATTCATGTCCCTAAGTGTCCGGTGTTCAGCTTTCCATATCCCCGGGTCATCAAAAGTACAAAGGTTGAAAATGGCACTGTCAGGATCTTACTGACGACAATGATTGTAGTAACATGTGTTTGTTTGAAGGCCAGAAATATTGGACCTGTTCATTCACTCTTCGCCACTTATCACAGGGGATCACCCCTGGATCTAACATGTTCAATTGAAACGATGATTGGCCCTTACCTCACACATGTCGCGCCCACATATATGCAGACACGCAGCGCAATCTTTTCAGATTGAAAATTGATTTGATCAGTCTGAAGTAGCTCTTTCCAGACATTCCACGCTGCCGCGAGAGATTTGCTGTGAGCGTTGCGCGTCCGGTCTTGGGACTTGCTGATGAAGTCGTCAACACACTCTCCACGAATCTGCAGGGCATGTTGGCAGCACATAGGGAAGGAACCCTCGCATG